TCGCACGGCTGTTCAAGAGACTCGCGTGTAGGATTGAAGAGTTTTGTTTTGAAATTTAGTCGATCGGCATTGGACGCATGCTGTCGATGATTGGACAGTTTGCTGCTGTTACGATCATTTGCTACTTTAATACTAGGTTTACGGGACGCGTCAATCTGACGCATATTGAAGTTTATAAACACTGTTTGGTAAACGTTTGCGCCGACTTTGATTGATGCAATTGCATCAGTGTGTACGTTAATTGTCTATTTTTGAACATCAAACTTCAAAATCCGAATAGAACCAACGTGAATTTTTCTAGGAACCGTAAACCTAGTGTTAACCCTTTGCACTCCAGAAGTTTCTCGCCGGAAATATTCAATATTTTATAATGAGATACAGACATTTTCTATGACTTAGAGGCGCCTCTGGAGTGCAAAGGGTTAAGTTTGTTGGTTTTTGCGACTTCTAGTTTCGGTATCTGAAGTTCAAAGCTTCAAACGAATGATCTGATTGTTATAACTTATTATATTATTATATTATTGTTATTATAACGAGAGATTCATGCGAGATTTCTTGTTTTCTAATATTTAACTTCTCCATGCACAACTCAGTGTTTCGTGGAATATATTTCAATTCCAAAAGTTGTCTGCAAAGGGTTAATTAAGGTAACTCGAACTGTACTCTATCGTATATGCAGACCCGGGTCTACGCAGACCCCACAATAGGCGGCGAGAGGCGGGGGCGAAGGACGCTCCGAAAGGAAAACAAAAGTTTCATAGGCGATCTTCGCGCCCGTGCAAATAGCCTAGCCCCAAAAGCTGCGTTTGCATCGAACGTGACATGACCGGTGAACGAGGAATTACGTCACCGGCCGAAAGCGTTTCGCGCGTTGCGAAAGTGTCGTGTACACACGCTGGATTTGGCGATCAGTCAAAACTGCGTCGGGCATTTTTCAACGATATCGAGAGTAGCCTGAAATGATCTTTAATCTGTGACGGATCCAAGGATCGAGCACATGATTTTTAATCGTCGATGCCACCACTTCTTTTCTCAAGGACAAAAACAAATTCCGAGATTTCTTTCCAGAAACTCTCTTACTGGATTAAGCTCGGTGTTGCTTGTGACACGTAAAAATACGCGTGGATAAATTAGAACTGTGCATAGATTCGAGTATGTTTGATATACTTTCACCGAACATTGAGCATTGTGGGCGGAGCTAACGGAAAGTAGTAGGGGGAGTGCCAATAAGTACAGTGGGAGGAGCTAAGGAACATAGATGGGCGGGGCTAAATAGAAATTCTAAGATTTACGCGTCATTTATCGTTGCGAAGGATAACGTAGGCTACAATAATGTTTTATTTGCGATACTCGTTCACGATGAATACGTCGGGAACGTATATCTCCGCAGTACAGTCCACGAGTAAATAAATACCTACAAGTTTCCTTTTGCTCTGAACGAGTGTATCACAATTAATTCCACGAATCGAACTTTTTCCGGTGGAAACCGCGAAATCGATCGTGTTAATTTGCCGGCGAGTTTAACCGGTGATCGTGCATTGCGGTAACACCGATTGCGCAACCGGTCGTGTATAACGGACGCGACGTGTCGGTATCGGGATCGAATCGCGTAAACCGTGTCGAAACCGCGGAGCGTTTTCGGAGGAACACGTGATACGTCCCATGACAAAACAGCGAATCGTAGGAATAACGCTTCATTCTTGACACTTTCGTCGAGCTCGTCGTTGACTGCTGACGTCCAAGCGCACCGTCGACGAGCCTGCCACTCGAAACGCGGAAATAAAATTGAAAAATTTCCTTCAGCCACGTGAGACCGATTCTCGGAACGCGATTAACACTTTTCAGAGGTGACGAGAAGAATCGTAGGTTACTTCATGAAAAATATTTTCTTCGGTTTGAAGAAACGCAAACATTCATGCGACGTTCGTCTAAGAATGCCAAAGGAAAACTTCAACCTTTGTCAAAAGTTTTTCACTGGATATTCAACATTCCCCGACGCTGTTTTTTCTTTGTTTCAATGTGTCACGTATTAACCCTTAGCACTCCAGGTTGTTTTGTAATCTATCAGCAACTACAACTAATTTTTAGTGTTCCTAGCGAAAATTAGAAATGCAACATTTCTATAAAATATTCATTAAAATATTTAATACTATAACTGGTGCGATATTGGAGCCTACAGAGTTCAAAGGGTTAATGCATCATACAAAATTGAATATTATATATATCATTCTCGTTCACCAAGTTTCGACACTGTGGGAGGAGCTAAAGACAGTGAGGAGCCAATGAGAACTATGGGCGGTGCCACGGTAAAATAAGGGAGGGGCGAAGGTGACGTACGAGTCCAAAGGCTAAATCTCGTGTTGTGATAGTAATTGCTCCTGTTATGCAAATACAGTAGTGTCACATTCCTCACCTTGAATACTTTTTCAAAGCACGTCGCCACGGAGAAACGTTTACATATTGTTATTGTTAATCGCTGCATCCGCGAAGGCGGAAGAACGCAGATCCCAGAGACAAGTTAAGGTTGATTCTCTCAGCGGCTTCTCGCTCGCGGCAAGGTAAAGCGGACGAGTCCGCGGTTGGGAAAAAAAACCCTCTTGACCGTCGAACGTTTTTGAAGTTTCCATAAAGCGGGCTGTCGATTCACGTCCGTGATCCGTGCGACTCGCGCGCGCGCGCGCGCTGCGCGTGCTCTCACGTTCATTTCTTCGTCGATTGTCATCGCCGCGGCATTAATAATTCATATTTCCGTCGCAGCCTTTCCAGAGATCTTGCGAGGCGAGATCGAACGATCTATATTTCCAGCGCGCGCGCATGATCTCTCTGGCTTTCGTGATTTTTTATTCCTCTGTTTTATTCGACGCCGCACAAATTAAACGAAACGAGTGGAAAATGAAAGCGAGATGCGACGGACGATCGTTAACTGCTTCAAGTATATTTCCTCGATGAACTTCTTGATTAATTACCTTCTTAAATTAATATTGTTCCCCTCTGTTTATCAAGATGCTATTGATAACATTCAATTCGCGACAATACCTTCTGATTCGCATAGAAGAAATTAGTCGTATTGAACTTAACCCTTCACGCTCGAGATTTTTCGTTATGATCGTTCGTAACTGTCTGATGACATTGATGGGACATTTTGCATCTGACGCAAAAAAAATCTTTCACGGATCACTGTATACTGAGTGATAATGATGCAAAAGTAAGACTAATTATATAGAAGCAGAGACACTTTACGTAAGACCCATTTTTTTTTTATCTATCACGCTTAATGTGCGTCAGTTTGACTGTAATTGCAGTTTATTGGAATAGGTAATATTAATTTTAATAACCATTTGCATTTACAGATATCTCACATTAATCCGACCGCCAGGGGCGGGATCTGTTTGCGATTTGTTTTTCTTGCGATCAATCACGAAGCAATTAGAACATATTGATTGAATAACAATTATAACCGCCGTTTAAATTATGTAACGTGTGCATAATACCGGCGGACAAATATTAACGGAATGAAATCGCGTTTTTGTTACGCCAGTCGATAACAGTTTCCGAACAGTATCATTATACGTGACAGCGGCAGTCGTAAAACTTACAACATTGTGCTGAAAACGTTTAGAAAATATGTTCGTCGGCCTTCGAGCATTTTTAAATATTATTTCAACGATCGATCTCCGTGCTCGCAAATTTCGCGAGCGAGATACCGACTTCTACGAAATTTCTAAACAAACGAACGGACGTATTCGATTTTGTTCTGAATTGATAAAACTACTGAATGCTCGGCGTAGAATAAAATACATCGACTTCAGAAAGATTTATGTTTTACCGATGATTTCGGTCGACTGCTCGAGCACGCTTGCCGCGTGCACGTCTCAACTAGATGAATCGCAGGAATCCGAGGGCGACGAGTTCCTAGACGGCGTGATCGCACTTTAGACCGTGATCTAAAGTGTAATCGGCACACCGGTCTAAACACCGGCGTTTCATTGTGGCTGAGTGCCGTTGCGCAATACCATAATACAGAAAACACAAGCCATACGGTTCCGGACTCCGCGAGAAGTCCGGTGACTACGTCTCGGACTTACCTTGACGCTGACATTCTGCGAACTCTTTGGAAGATCAACGATCTACCGTTTCCTGTGCATTCTCTCGATAAATATTAGGCGCTTGCAACATTGCCTTCTGTTCCGATAGACGCCAAGGCAGCTCTACGAGGAATATATAGACAGGATTTTTATCCTGAAAATGCAAAATTGCGGAAAATGTACCTGAACATGAAAAAAACTTGTATTTTAACCACAATGATCTTGATTCGCGTAATCATGCACATGCTCTAGCTTCGAAGCTATAATTTTCGCGACCTATATAAACTAACGCGTAGTTTTCTAGAACCAGTAGAACAACCTGCAGAATAAACGTCCGTAAATATAGCGTTAACTTGCTGCACTAAAAATTTTGAAAATTTCCTCGAACGATTCACGAACTTCCTCGTATAATTAGAATATTTTTCCCGCGTCTGAAAAGTTCAAGTTCCTTATCAAACCTACTGTCAATCCTCTCGCAGCCCGTTTATCCAACTCCACGCCCAGTTCATTCAGCGCATCAACAAACATGAACCTTCAAGCGACTCGGAAAAAGCCTCCGAACTCGAAGTGACGCAGCGACAAAAGTGTGAAACAACGATACGGTGAATCGTCGCGATCGCCGATGAAAACGATCGACGGAGAATGCCGGTGAACCGCGGAGCTGCGTCGGCGAGTTCCTTGATAATCGCGTGGGTACATATTGAACTTGAGCGCGGCCGATAATCGGTGTCGCGCAAAGGGCACACGCGCGGAAAGGAAATTGTCGATTGGCGGAAAAGAAAGCGGTGAGAAACGGGAGACGGCCATTTACGCGGGCGCGCGCGCGCGCACCGGTTGGTCCCGCGTCGGCGGCCAAAGGATCGACACGCCAAGGTAGGAGGGATGCGGTACCAATATGGCGGCTCGGTTAAAAGCAATCCACCGGGCGAAGCGCTGTCAGTTCGCGACTCAGCACGGCGGTAGCGTGTTCGTACGTAGCGAGTACACGATCGAACCGGTGGTTAAACGCGAGAATAAAATCGGCGAGACGGCTCGTTCGCGATCCATTGGCATCGGCGTTTATCTCTCTCGGTCACCTTTGGTTTCTCTCTTTCTTTCTTTCTTTCTTTCTTTTCCTTTAACGCTCGCACCGAACAGCACTTTCGATCGGAAGCCGATCGAAGGTGAAACGTCGCCTTCCGTCGAAGCAGCCTCTCTCTTTCCCTCCGCGATCGAATTCGGAAAATCGATCGTCAGCCGTGGCGCGCAGTTGCACGTTTCCTCTTCGCTCTTTTAACGACAACCTCGGCCAGCTGTGTTCGATCGGCTGCCGGTAGATCGTCGGTCGCCAGTGTCAGCGGGCAGATAGAAAGAGGGACGGACGGATCGGTCGGTCAGTGTGTGTTCGGTTACGAGGACGCCGGGAAGACGGTTACGTGAGAAATCCCGAGATCCAGGGGAAACGACGAACCACTCTTCGGTAAGTGAAGAAAGTTAAGCCCGGCGAGCCGCGGACGATTGGCCGATTAGAGAGAAACACGCCGACCGACGACTTTGTTTCTCCTCCTGACGTAACGAGACGACCGTCACGCGGAAACGATATACCTAAAGGCCTCTGCACATCGTCGCGCGCGTCGCTGGCGCACGCCTCGGTGCTTCGTTCTCGCGGTACGCGTTACGATCGGTGGAGATCGGTATCAACGATCGAGACGTGCTTAAGAGATCTTTGCGATGCTGGTAGCTGTTGTTGTTGAGAGTAATATTAGAATTGGAAAAGACTTGTCGAATATTGGTATGGAATAAATTAAAAAATTAGTATCGAGGCAGATCGAAATGACATCAAGAGCCTAAGATCAATGTCTTTGTAGTCAATTCTTTGTTTCCTGATAGGATTGTAGATCCTGTTGTCGAAGTAGAGCTAGGATTAGAGGAGCAAACATTTCGAAACACATCGATGTCACGAGATTTGATAGAAAGATTCAAAATTGGGGAGGCAGATTGAAACGACGCGTGTACGAGCAACGCGCACCAATCGCAATGTGTACAGACCTTAACCGTGCAGCGTGCCTGTCTCTCGGCGCGCCGGGCGGCTTTGAATGAAATCGCCCGCGAACCGGGAACCGGTGATCATTGATTTTCGCGTGACTATCGCTACGAGGTCCGATAACGTGTAATCTGACCGACAGATCGTTGCCGTTTACTTAAAGCGCACGTGCGCGTCTCGTCGAACGGTGCCGCGTTCCTCGGATTTTTTCCCTCGGCGTTTGATACCCGTTACACTTCGAATTTCTTGGAATTTCTAACAGAAACACCTATCGTTCCGTTGAATTCTCTTTCTAATGAGAATCTATAGCAGCAGATGTATGAAATCTTCGAAATTTACGGATTATTGGTTACTAGATCGTTGATATTGCACGCACGAACGTGTCGAACGCGAGTTTCGCGATTTCAATGAACGTAATCAAATTTAGACGAATACCGTTGGTATTGGCTACAATTTTTGTAGGAATTGCATATTAATCGTATTAAATGCTCGGTAGTCCTAGTGTTGATACTTCGTCCGAGATTAATGAATGTTCACAATGAAAAATATTCCTTATTTCCTGATGAAATATCAATGGTATTATTTACAATTAACATAAAGAAATACTTTGCATAAATTAAGTGATGAAACTATTTTATTTCGACGTTCCATGCGTTGGCAGATTATAGAGAATTCAATACTGAATTTTAAATTTTATAATTTCGTTGGATTAAATCGAATGGCGAGTGAATTATAGAAAATTTAATACTGAATTTTAAATTTTATAATTTCTTTGGGTTAAACCGAATGGCGAGTGAAAGTCGCCTTTCGAGTGCAAAGGGTTAAGTCATCCATCGATAGCAAATAGTACGCGTAACGGTAGCCACCGACAGCAGCCGATCGTGAAACACCGATTTCCCAGTTCCCGATCGCGGTGGGCTGCGTGAATCAGCGGGATCAGTCGATTTAGGTTCAATTCACGTCCTGGCTCGTACGGTGGCCATGCCTCGACGTGTCTCCCGTTCCCTCGTCGGTGACGAGTTTCCGAAAGCCTTTCGATTTTCGTAAATTTTCCGCTTGCCGTTTATCCTCGTCGCTCCTTTCGTTTCCTCCCCTGGTTTCCTTCTTTTCTCGAACCTCCGTTCAGGGAAGTGTTTGCGAGGGACCCGCTTCGTTACGTATTCGCCGAGCATCGGGAAAACAATGTGCACGCACGTTGCTCGGCGCAAGGAACGCTCCACGATCCGGCCAACCAACTATTTTCGGCGAAGTCGATTTGCATCGCGTTCCCTTCTGCTTTAGATATGAATAACGGCCTGCTACCGAAAGAACACGGGAATATTATTAACTCTCCGTAACCGGATTTCTGATTCCTTAATGCTGTTGTTACTGTCAACGTGTTGTGCGGGAGTTTAATGTATGGGGAACCGTGGTACCGGGAAATATGGATGAGAAATATCGGGGGAGTCCCAATTAATCACCGAAGTAACGGTGAATAATAAGATACAATAACAATAACCCTTTCCGAAGTGCTTTTGGTTTCTCACTTCGAGGTTCGCGTCGACGTTAGTTCATTCGATTATACCTTAACCCTTAGCAGATGGTTTTGTAATCTATCAGCGACTGCTACTAATTTTTATAGTATCCCTAGCGAAAATTAGAAATGCAACATTTCTTCGATCTTAGATTTATTAAAATATTTAATATTATTCCTGGTGCCATGTTGGAGCCAGAGTTCAAAGGGTTAATATGACGCTCTATTTATTCATTCAGGAATATTTGGGAGTCATTGAAATGTTACCTTTAAATACAATTGTGATACTACAAATAAATATAGGAAAAATCGTTAAAAGGTAGAGGTTGCAGTAAAATAGAATGTCGAATTACTGTAGTAGCAATGAAGTAGTGCTCATAATTAGATCTCCCTTACTTTTTGATCACTGCATGGATGAAGAAATCTTTGTTTTCATTTCGATGTGGCAATGTTATACGATCGATTGAATATCATAAATAAATGCAATCGAAAGACGTCATTCAAGTTTCCTCATTCAAGAAATCTCCCTCGAAACTTCGCTTCCCGATCAATTGTTATTCCCTCGCAACGCGATTCGATAAGACTGACGATCGCTCGAAATTTCGGAATCGGTGAAAATAATGTTCCTCGACCGGAGAATAGTGTTTCCAACCGTTTATGGTGTTGCTCGAGTGTAAGATACGCATCTTCCGCAGCAGATAACGCGCATTAATCGCCGATAAGAGCCTTCAGACTATACAAGCGGTCACTTCACAGATACTACCGGCGATATTTGCGACCGTTATTATTATTATCTCGCGTCCGACGTCTCCGCGTCGAGACAGCATGAAATTACGGCAACAAACGACTCGCGCTAACGGAATCGTCGATGATTCTAGATTCAATTTTCGAGACAGTTTCGTGGATCATTCTTGCCACGCGCCAATTAGCCGCGAGGATAATTGAAAACCCGCGAGACAAACAAAAACGTCTATTCGTGACGCATCGTTTCTACGTGTCGTAAATATCAGATAGGTCCATTAATTCTCGCGATCGTTCCACGCGCCGATGCATCATCCGCGCAAAAAACTAATTCCTTATCTCGCGAAGCTACTCGCAAGAATTATCGCACCCCTAACAATGTCTCAAGATTATATTGTTCGTGAATCGTAAATATTCATAGCTTTTTCCTTCGATCGGCGCGGACGACAATCGTTTTTACCCGGTTTCTTCAGCTCCGTCGCGTCGTTCCTTTTTCACGCGACGCTCGCATAACTTCCGTAAGAGCCGCGACGGTAATTTCCATCTAATCTGCCGCTCGTCGGAAGAAGTCTCGTGCGACGAGTCGAAGAGGTAATAACGAGAAGAAATTAACGACGTCCAATTACCTTAGACTCATACCAATCGTATATCATCGCCTGGGAAACATCAGATTTCATCTGTTCGGATGAATTTCACGTGTCTTTAACAATTAGCCGCTTGATCCGACTCTACACAGCAAAGTTATAAACTTTAATCTTCATACAACTCGCGAGTACGTGAAACATTAAAATACAAAGCTCCGTTTCTTAATTTATACTTCTGTTCCCGTTAATTAGTTCCCAAGAGTGTCGCGTACGCTTGACCGTACGACGTTGAATATTTCAAAGGGAAAACTTTCGAGTTCAAAGGTTGGAAACGTTCGCTGTTCGCTCCGGTGACACGCCGGCTCCGTAGATCGGAATAGATCCGCGCGTGACTCGCATGCGGCCGCACCGGAAAGGACGGGAAAAGAGCATAAAAACGCGCGCGAGATGACGATCTCTTACGTCCGCGGAATCCGTAAACATTTCGGGTATGGTAATCGCCGCGGGAGCCTTGACATTTCTCGATCCTTAGCGAAACGAGATTTTGCGGAAGTCCCGGGATTCTCGGTCGCGTTGCGATCCCGCGAAGGACGCGCCGTTCCGAGGATCGAATCGACAATCGACCGATCCGAACGGACTTCCCCTGTCCCGGCGGCGTTCTCAAGGAAGTAAGTCGCATTTGCATCACAAAGAAAAATGGGAAATTATTGCGTTGCCAGCCATTCGTACGTCACAATGGTAATAATAACGATATTAACGATATTATAGTAATAATAATAATAATAATAATAATAACAGCAGTAACATATTTTTTGAATTGTCAGAAAAACCTTGATCGATTCAATTATTGTTTGGTAATAATAATAATAATAATAACAGGAGTAACATATTTTTTGAATTGCCAGAAAAACCTCGACCACTCGATTCATTTATTGTTTAGTAATAATAATAATAATAATAATAACAGCAGTAACATATTTTTTGAATTGCCAGAAGAACCTCGACCACACGATTTAATTATTGTTTAGTCACGGCAAATACTTTTAACAGACACCAATTTCCTTGCAAATTGATCCGCAGCATTTTGGAAGCATCAGATTATCATCGACTATCACGGCAATCGACGAGTCAATTAACGATGTAAATTGTGTTCATTCTGACATTTAGCTCTCTTGATTTGCAAACCGTGACGAATTCCGCGGGACGAGAGCTGAAGGTTCGATTGAATTACCTTCCTAATTAAGCGCTCTGAGGCTGCCTCGCGAGAAAAAACTCGCGAAATGTGGCCAACCACTTTGTCCTATGAATATTTAAGAATCTTTCTTCGGAGGCACGATAACACGAACGGTGTCGCGACATTCTGTATCGTTCCTCCGAGGTATCGGCGGTGCATGTTTTTTGGGATACCGTTCGGAAAGAGGATAATTTATTAATGGAACCGGGGGGCTTATTAGCATGTCGCCGCGCGCAGAAAGTAGATAAGCTCGTTTGCCGGCGTCCGTGATCCGTCATTGGAAAAACGAGGACTCGAGGACCCTCGGGAAACGATGTTCCCGACCGCCAACCAAATAATTTGGCCGTTCGGGTCGCCTGGACAT